CGCTTTTATAGTTTCACAAAGCTTAGATGTATTAACCGTATTCTCTGCCTCATCACCTGTCTTTGTATCAAGAACAGTGAACTTAGGAAACCCCATAGGTTCTCTCTCCTTGTTCATCTGCTCCGAGCAGTCGACGGCCGCTGCGGACAAGCAGAAAGGACCATAAGGAATGCCTACTTTTCCTCATCTTCTCGCCACACTAGAACCTTTTGAAAAGAAGAACATTGGTCATAAACACTTACAAAATGCCTTATTGCCGGCGGCTTGTGCCTCTGTGAAGAGCGCAGGCACGGCTGCAGCCGTGCCTGCAAATACTGCGAAACAGAAACGCCTCATGATGCTGGCTCCAAAAGACCCCAAGGGAAAAAGAAGGAAATTCCCTTTAGAAATAGTAAATCCAAAGAAAAGCACTGAAAACCAAGTGGGTCATTAAGTGTCACAAGTCAAATAACGAAGGAAGACGATGAATTGCTCCGGCGAGAAGGCTGAAGAGACCGAGGTGAAAATTTGAGCGCTTGAGCAGATCATCATGCCGGTCGATCGCCTGTTTCCGCTAATAAATGGCTTCCCATTGTTGTTTTTTTGTGATATTTCTAATTCAAAAATGTTTAATTAGAAACAAATATTTCAATGAACTCTTTTTTGAGTTTCATTTGATACCAAATTCTCACCAACCACACCATTTCTTCCATGTTCTTAAACACGCACGCCAAACGAACAACAGCCACCTTCCCGAGCTTTATTGATTTTGGGTTGTTCTTCAGGCTTCACTGGTTCAAATAATTGCAATTATTTCTTTAAGTTAAATTCAATTTGGAAAAGTTAAAGCATCCTTGCAATTTCTAATGATTTTACGCCCCCCCCCTCCCACCCAACGCCCGATGCGGCGTTAAACACGTTCATCTGTATTGATCTTTGCCTTCTTCTCTCAACAAAAGTTTATTCTTACATCTCAGCTTTAACTTATTTAAATATTAGAATATTCAACTTTCTCTTTAGAACTGTGCGCTGTTCCTGTTTTAGCATGGCTGAAAAAATACCACTCTGTTTGCTCCTAGAAGTCGTATATGTTTGTCTTTTCGCACCTATAAATAACAATTTGTAAATTGTTATTGAATTATGAATTTAAGAAACTCTGTTAAAAAGAAGCGTACATTTCCTTAGATGTCTGTATATTCCAGACTGCATACAAAAGGGCAATGACGAACGACAGAGTAGCGAGAGACAATAACTAATACGAGAAAAAAATGCGCAAAAAGAAAAAGAATTCACTTAATGGGATTTTGCAAATTGTAGATAGTAACTAATTCATATTTTATTCCTTTAATTTTCCCCATTTTTTAATACTAAAACGTCTTATTGCACGAAGACGCAGGCAATGTCTTCGTACGAGGTCATTTATTTCCTTTTAACTGCCCTAATGTCATTTATTAAGTGTATCACATACATATTGTACTAGTATTTGAATAGGTTTAATGTTTATAATACGGGCGCTAATTAGAAGTAACATCTAACAGTGATAAAGGGCTACTAAGTCAGGCTAAGAATGCCTAGCCCCAACCCTAAATAAAAAAACCATAAAAGGAAAAATAAGTTAAGTGCACAGAAAATATTAAATAGTAAAGAATAATATATCTTCTTCTTTACATTAGAGAATAGTAATAATAGAGAAAAGGACAGGTTACAATTGCTGTCATTAAAAATTTGGTAGGTGGCTCGACTTTAGCCACCTGCTACTGCCACGTCAGCAGCTGCTGCAGCTGCTGCAGCAACGGCGATATGAGGGCGCATTACTGCAGCAGCAGACCAAGGAATACAGCAACAGCAAGAAGGAAAGGAGAGGGGGAGGAGAAAGAAGCGCCGTTCTCTAGAACTGTCTTCCATTCACTTTCCCTATAAATAAAAAAAGAAAACAAACAAACAAACCGAAGCAAATTTAGGAGCAATACTCTTTACAGCAACAACTGCTGCAGCAGCAACTGTTGCATGCAAGAAACAATACTAGGAGCAAACCCTGCACAGCAACCGCAATAGCAACAACTGCAGCAGCAGTAACACCAGCTATTACAGGAACAAGTGCAGCAAGCAGCCACAGCAACAGCTACAGCTGGAGCAAGTGCATAATTTACTGGAAAGGTGCAACTCCGTCAGTGAGTGTTTTCGGTTTGAATAGACAAACAAGAGCATCAAAAGATTCTTCTTGTGCTCCTGTTTCTACTTGTAATCGACGAACGGCCATTCCTCCCCTAACTCCTCCTGCTCCTGCCCCTGCTTCTGCTGCTGGTGGTGGTACTGCTGCCCCTCCTTCTACTCCTGCTGTTACTGCTGATGCTGTTACTGGTGTTGGGCTCTCCTCGGCATTTGCCTTCTCCAACTGTTTGCCCTCGTTGCCTCTGCCTTCACCATCGCCACCACCAGCACCATCAACATCACCAACACCTGCACTAGGCACAGCTTGCTCGCCTTTCTCTTCCTCTTCGCCGTCTTCATTGGGTGGGGTTGGCGTGGTGGTGGGCGGTTTCCCGCCTTCACTGTCGGTGTTGCTGCCACCACTGTCACTGGCTCCTCCTGTTGAACTTTTGGGTGGGCATTGTATGACAGTGCATGCAACTGCTACTCCATCTTTAGGTGTATAAAGACTCATTAACGATACAACATCCAGACTTTTGTATATATCCTGCCCGGGTGTATAGGCAGGTGGTAAAGAT